TCATTAACTGCCCTTAGGAAAAGTCCTTCTGTCTTCCCCAGAAGAGCTGTCCCTTCTCTGTGAACAGTGTAGCTGTGTGTGTGGGGCACTCTGCCAAGCAGGGGAAGGGTCTGGAGCACAAGTGTGCTGAGTTCCCTTGTGGCTGAGGGAACTGGGGGTGTTGAGCCTGGAGAAAAGGAGGCTGAGGGGAGACCTTGTGGCTCTGTGCAAGTCCCTTGGAGGAGGGTGGAGAGAGGTGGGGGTGGGTCTGTTCAACCAAGGCCCAAGGGACAGGACAAGAGGAAATGGGCTCCAGTTGTGGCCAGGGCAGTTGAGATGGGATGTGAGGAAGAATTTCTTTGCTGAAAGGGTTCTGAGGCATTGGAAGGGGTTGCCCAGGGCAGTGGTGGAGTCCCCATCCCTGGAGGGATTGAAGAGTCGTGTAGACACAGTGCTGAGGGACATGGGTTAGTCATAGGGGACTGGTCAGTGTTGGGTTCATGGTTGGACTCGATGAGCTTCAAGGTCTCTCCCAGTCGAGGCAGTTCTGGGACTCTGCAGTTGGGTGCTCCATGGTGTGTGTGTCTGCACACGGGTGTGGTGCCCAGTGCTGTAGGCAGAGCATGAGTTGCTCCACACACAGAGCGAGTATGAAGTGCTGTGTCCACACACACACCACGAGTGTGTTCATAGTGAAGCCCTTTCCCTGCCCCCCCAAAATAGTGTAGCTTTTTTTTTTTCTTTTACCCTCTCAATAATGAAGTGTAGCCCTTCCTTCCTGCTTCCCAAATAATAAGTGAATAAATAAATAGTGTAGCCCTCCTTGCTGATTTTAAAATAATTAATAGTGCAGCCCTTCCTGCTTTCCAAATAAATCAAGTGTAGCTCTTCCTTCTGGTGTTTTCTAGTTAATAGTGTAGCCCTTCCTCTCTGCTTTCCAAACACTCGTGGAGCTTGTCCTTCCTTCCTCCCTCCCTCCCTCCCAACACTGACCAGCACAGCCACGTGTGCACACTTATCCCTGGGGTGTGTGTTGTGCACACACACAGTGTGAGTGGCTCACTAGTGGAGCCTTTTCCCCCCCAGATAAACAGAATTGCCAGTTTTCTGACAGTGTAACTCCTCACAGCGGGGCCCTGTGCATGTGCCCAGGATCGATAGCACAGCCCTGCTTTCCCCTCGTGGATCAGTGACCCAGCTGTGTGTGCAGCACTTCAACCTTGGCACTCTGCTCATAGCACTTTGTGTGCACACACAGTGGTGAACTCACACCGTGCAGGTCCAGCACACGCTGAGTGTCTCCACAGTGTAGTTCCTCCTTAACAACAGTAAATAGTGGAACTGTTCCTACTGCATAGGGTGTGTCTGTGCACACAGGCAGTGTCTGTCTTATTTCTGGGCAAGGAAGGGCTACACAATTTTTTTTTCTCTTCTTTCTCCCTCATAAACAAATAGTGGAGCTGTTTGTGGGCACACAAAACTCACACACAGTGTGTGTGACCTCACACTGTGCAGGTACAACACTGAGTGCCAATAGCACAGCCCTCCTCCCCCCCCCCTAATAAATAGTGTCATTCCTCCAATAACAGTGTCACTGTTCCTACTGAACAGTGTCTGTCTGCAGCATGTCCACCCCAGAGCACCCGGGTGATGTGCACACAGTGTAGCCCTTCCCCCAGTATAGCAGAATTATCATTGTTTTCCAAGTGTGGTGGGACACTGTACCCATAATAAACAGCACAGCCCCCCCTTTATCCCCTCCCCTCATCAATCAGCATAGCTGTGTGTGTGCAGCACTCAAACCCGGGCACTCTGCTTGCAGCAGTGTGTGCACAGAGTCTGAGAGCACAGCCCAGGTAACAAGTGTAGCTCTTCCTTCCCAACAATAAATAAAGTTGCTGTTCCTACTGAACAGTGTCAGTCTGTGCACACACAGGCAGTCTGGTCTTCATAGTGTGGCCCTTCTCTTCCCCATAAACACAATTTTTTTCCTCCTCCCCCCCTCATAAACAGTAGCATAGCTGTGTGTGTGTGTGTGTGTGTGTGTGCAGCACTTGACCCTGGGCACTCTGCTGGGGAAGGTGTGTGCAGAGGGTTGAACTCCAGTGCTGTGTCTGCAGACTGGGTCTTCATAGCGTAGCTCTTCCTCCCCTCCCAGTGAGAAGCAGGGTGAGTAGGAGTGTGTGTGTGTGTGTGTGCAGCACTTACACCCGGGGGTGTGTGTGCACACAGTGTGCTGTGGCTGCACGGTGCTGCCCTTCCACCCCCAATAAAACAAACTGAATTGTCACTGTGCCCACAGTACCCAGCACAGCCCTGTCTCCCCCCATAAATAAGGGGTGTAGCTGAGATGTGCAGCCCTTAAACCTGGACACTGAGAGTTCACCACGGTGTACACCAAGTGTCTTAACAGTGTAGTTCCTCCTTCCCCACAATAAATAGCAGTGCTGTTCCTAACCAGGGTGTGTCTGTGCACAGTCCCTGTGCAGTCCTGCCCTGCAGCCCTTCCTTCCCAATACACAGAATTGTTTTTTTTCCTTCTTCCTCCTCATAAATAAGTTGTGTAGCACTAAACCCTGAGCACTCTGATGGGGCAGGGGTGTGCACGGGCAGAGGGGTGTGTGCAAATGCTGAAGACACTCACACTGTGTGCACAGTGTAGCTCTTCACCCAGGTGTAAAGTGCTGTGCACACACTAACTACCCTTTTTTAGCAGCGAGTATCTACTACCAGCCTTACCCACTCAGTATGCTGCTCCTGGAGATGTCTGGGCAGGACTTACACCTGGGTGTGAGTGGGGGATGGCTAGGAAGGTCTATGCCATTAATTTGTTAATTGCCATTGTTTTCTGGGTGTGTAGCTCTTGGCACTGTGCGCTTACAGGTGGCACTGACTGTGTGTGTGTGTGTCTGTCTGTGCACTCACAGCCTGCTGAGTGTGAACTAAGGCGCTGTTCAGCACTTTTAGAGCTGCCTAAACCAACAGCTGTGTAAATGCAGCACTTACCTGGGCACTCTGGTGTCTGTCCTACCTGCAACTGAACAACGTGTGTCCCTTCCCGGTGCAGCACTCCCCTCACAGCCGCTTGTCCTGTGCACAAGGGCTCCACAGCTGCCCCCCTCCAGGAGCAAAATCAACTCTTGGTGCTTGTCTGTTGCAGGCACTGAGTGAGGAGATCAAGAGCATGCACGGGCTGCGCATCTTCACCTCCACCCCCAAACAACCTTGATGCTCCTGTTGCCAATTAATCAATAATAAAATGATGCTGCTGCACAGAGCAGACATGCCTGTCTCCAGACTATCATCTCCAGGGCTGTGGTTTCAATTCAGGCACCTGTGCAGGGCTGGGGGGGGCTCCAAGGGGAGGGGTGAAGAAGAAAAGACACCCCCCCTCTTCCTCTGAAAGAAGAGCAGGAAGGAGAAACTTTATTGTTGCTGCCTTGCTACACAGCAGGCTCCCTCCCTCAGCCCACCACCAAACACTGAGAGCTCCTCTTCAGGCCAGGCACTTTGTTCCTCCCAATGCTGCTGTGGGCAAAGGGGAGCTTAAGGCTCTAAGTGCACCTTATCCAAAAAAAAAAAGCACTTCCAAAAAAAATAAGCTGAGCCACTCTGCTCACACCCGGGGCTTGGCCCGGTCAGTTGCTCACAGGCCAAGCCCCATGTGGGCTGGAGGAAAACTTGGAGTAGAGAGCAGCAGCGCAGCACTTGAATGTTACCCCTGTGCCTGTGGGACACAAACCCGAGTCCTAGTCCTGTCCTCAAACAACTGCAGATCTTGCCAGGCTTGAGCCTAAAAAACCAAGTGGGCTACACAGGGAAGTCACCACAGCACAGCCAACAGCTTTAAAACCACACAGGCGGCTGCTGCTGCACAGTAGAAGCGGTTGCTCGGCCTCCGAGACTGATGCCACTTGGGCTGGTGTCGCTGAAGGCAAAGCGTAGAAGTGGCTGGCGTACAAAGCGGAAAGGAGTGTCCAAAAAGGTCCTCCCGAGGAAAAGTTTATCTGTCCTTGGAGCCCAGCTTCTCAATCAGTTCCTGCAGAGGAGCCAGCTCCCGCCTGTCGATCAAGTTGAATTCCTGGCAGGGGAAAAAAAAAGAAAAAACAACAGAAAAACTAAAGGCTCCTCTCAAAATGCTGCTGGAAAACATGTTCACGTGCTGGGGACATGCCCTGTCAGTGCGTGCCAGCTCCTGAGAGCCACCAAACAGGCAGCAGCCACCTCTCCTGTTTCTCTGCAGAAACATTCTGGCATTTCAAGACAACAGAACTTTTTCTGCTGCATCACCGAGAAGTACCGTGCTGCTCTGCAGAGTGTTGCATGGGTGGTCACAGAACAGGCTGTTAAAACACTAGCAGGGAAAAAAAAGCTGCTACTGCTACTTCTGAGTTGATTCTTGAGCTACAGAACCCCCAAGTTCTCCTCCAATTCTGGTTTCTTTTGCTTCAGGCCAACAACTGCAACCTGAGAAAGAAATTCAAACATTTACAGCCAACACTTCCTGCAAAAAAATAACCACAAACCCACAGTGCTGCAGCTGCACGCTCTGCATGGCAGGAGCTGAGCGCGTCTTCCACAGCTGCAGATCTTCTAAGAGCGAGGAGGTCCTTAAAATCCAACACCCTTTAAAAAACAAATGGGGAACAAGAAACCCGAGCGACCAGCCACCATTTCACAACTCACCTGCACAAAGAAGATAAAGTGCTTGAAGGAGGTGTTGAGGTGGGCCTCCTCCTGCAGCCGCATGACGGAATCAAAGTGCTGGTGGTAGATGTGGGCGTAGACACGGAACAGCCGCTTCAGGATCGTCTTGGCCACTGACATGAAGTTCTTGGGAAAAGGGACACCTGAAACACCACCAATGCACGTGGTTAAGTCCTTCACTTGAGTCAGAAGTACCAAAGCAAGATGTCCACGAGGCCTGTCGCGTCACACAGCCGCACTTACCGATCT